GCTCCCATCTGGGCTCCGTTCCATACCTCACTCGTTTTAAAAGTTGAACGAATACAGAGACTGTTCATCAGATTCACACTACGAAATCTGCCATGGCGTGATCCCATGCACCTACCTGACTACACCGCTCGTTGTGCATTGATAAACTTAGAAACGTTAAATGATAGGCGTAAAATGATTCAGCAACTATTCATTTTCGAACTACAGGGTGTGTGACGAATTTTTGCAGTAAATTTCAAATAGTAATTGTTCATGCTTGTGCCTCTTGATTTAGATATATTTCGCAGCACTGGATAGCTTATACTGTTAGGTGTAAGATTTAAACAAACAATGTTGAGTAAACGTAAAGATGTCGAAACAAGAGAGCAATCTTTCAGCCGTTGTCGCTTTGTTGCGCGCCGGAGTATGCATGAAAGAAATAATTCGGTCGGTAAATGTGTCTGAAAGAACAGTGTATAATATTAAAAAAGGCTTGGGAAAGTGATAAGACGGAGCACCTGCTCATACTGCTAATAAAGCACAGAAATGCTAATAAAGCACCACACTTAAGTCGCTAAAAGCTAAAATCAAGGCAGTGATGACATCTATGGATCGAAACATTTTAAAACGTGCATACTGCAGTTTCCGGAAGCGTCTAACTACAGTCGTCGAAAGGGAAGGCATTTTTTTTTAATAAATTTACTTACAACTTCCATATGTTGCGAAAGAAAATAAATCGCACAAAATTCATTGCTAGAATAACTAACTGGTGTATTTTTTCTCAAATATGCCATTTACTGCAAAAATTCGTCACGCACCCTGTACTTGGCGGAAACATCGATTGTCCTCAATTGCTCCAGGAAATTCCTCTCTATGTACCACCGCGGCAACTAAGGAGATCTCCTCTCATTGCTGTACTGGCACATAGAACCGTCTATGGTCAAAACAAACCACTAAATTCCTGCTTGAAAGCCTAGTGTTCATTACGATTTTACTATTTCTAAGAATGTTTTTAAAAATAGAATTAAGAATATGTAGAGAAGTCTGTAAGATTCAATCGAAGACGAAACAACAATAAATAAATAAATAAATTTCCCCTATGTGTTTATTTATTCTCGGAGAGTTTCAAAAATATCCCACTTAAAATGAATTTTTGATGATCCTTTTTGTCTGTTGCATTTTTTTTTTCGAGTGCAGTCTTTAGAACTGTATACTAATACACTGAGTGAAGAACGTTTCCCGACTTTCTTCACGCTCGGGAGGTTTTTCTTGGGGGTTTCGGGGGATTGTTTTAATGTGTTACAAATATCAGCTTGTATTGGTAATATAATTTGAAATTTCATTCGTTTTCGATTTCAAGCAACCATGGCCGTACAAATGGAGCATTTCATAAATCTGTATATTTCGTGTGTTATCTTTTAGGATCTGAAATATCTTTGAAAAAATTAAACATTTATTTTTTGAATCATTATATAATATGGTAGCTGTCAGACTTGCCCGTTTCTATTTAGACGCAGCGGAAAAGAAACAAGTTTATGAGTAAATACTCTCAAATATACCCAAATAATCAACAAACCCACTCATGTGCCTTTTTTCTGTCCTATATTAGTTGTATACCTGGATAGAATTGTGTATGTCATAACAGAGGCTCAAAACAAAAACAGGTAAACAAATATGTTATTAAACCTGTAATTGAGATAAATTCTCTAAGTACTTCTCTGACGTATACCATATTGTGCCTTAAGAGCTCATCCCGCGATATCACAACTACATAAAAAGGCACCCCGTGGAGGCTTCTTACACTCACACTTAAAAAAGTTTGCTATAATCAATTGTACCTAATGAAGATAGGTATAATGTCAACATTGTAATTATTCTGCTACATATACGTTCTTCACCTGTTCCATTCAGTTCATCTCTCTTAGCGTTTCAAGTTAAAAAGCAAGTAGTTTTTTACGATGGATAACAATTTCAAGTGTTGTAAACCTCTACCTAAATCAAAAGGTGTTGTTCAGATACAAGAAACTTGTCAGATGGAGTAATAGAAAAAATAAAATGTTTTGGCTGTAAAATACCTCTGGATAGTTCTTTGAGAATTTGTAGTAGATGTCGTCTTCAAGTTTACCATTTGCCATCAAACAAAACGCCTTCGAATGACGGAATGCAGCAAGATCTGGAACAACCTTCTACCAGTGGTGTACGCTCAACAGCACCCATAGATATCGAGAGTGAATCCATTGTGAATATCATCCCATCGGTTACGTCTCTGGCTTCATCGACTTCAGCAGATTCTGTTGTGAATAGAATCAGTTTGTCCCATAATATTGAGACATTCAACCAAGACATCATGGGTATCCATGTAAAGGGTGATACGGTCAAAATTTGGTCAAGGGAAAACGCGTGTAAATCGGTGAAATCGTTTATTTAAAAAATCAAATTAAATTTCTTTTTCAAGTTCAATTAGTATAAAATTCAGGAAAAATATTCAGTTAGGCTTCCGCTTTTCCAAATCCGAATTGCCGGGCCGGTAATACGGATAATAATTGTGTCTTTTCTTCTCGAGTGCATTCCGGATCTGCGTATTTTTCCTTTAGTTGGCTCATCATTTCATCGTAATCCTTAGCCTTGGCGTTGAGGATTCCTTGGTCATCATCTTGCAGATGTTTTCAAGCACATGAAACTGTCAAAGTTCGCAAAGAAATATCTGGTTTGGCAAGCCATCTGTACCTGTGGCTTGAAAAGCAGCATTTTCATAGCTTCCGGGACTGTCAACCAAGAAATTTACGTGAAAGAGTGTTTGAATAAACGTCTGCTGCCTTTCCTGAAGAAACACGGTTGTTCCGTACTGTTTTGGCCGGATTTGGCATCTTGCCATTACGGTAAAAAGGCCATGGAGTGGTACGCCGCCAACAACGTGCAGGTGGTTCCCAAGGACAAGAACCCTCCCAACACGCCAGAGCTCCGCCCAATTGAAAAAAAACTGGGCTATTGTCAAGCGGAACCTAAAGAAGACCAAAAAAACTGCTAAGGGCGAGCAGCAGTTCAAGGCAAACTGGCTTTCTGCGGCGAAGAAGGTGGACAAGGTGGCTGTACAAAATCTGATGGCAGGGGTCAAGCGTAAGGCCCGGCAATTCGGATTTGGAAAAGCGGAAGCCTAACTGAATATTTTTCCTGAATTTTATACTAATTGAACTTGAAAAAGAAATTTAATTTGATTTTTTAAATAAACGATTTCACCGATTTACACGCGTTTTCCCTTGACCAAATTTTGACCGTATCACCCTTTAATGTAGAAATTGAATGGCATTTTTTTGCAACTTCACACGGCAAAGGTCCTTGTGATGCGATTGGCGGTACCCTTAAGAAAATGGCAACCAGAGCAAGTTTAGCTAAGGAACACGAGCACCCTATAACGAGCCCTAAACAACTGTACGACTGGGCAAATAGTCGTAAAGAAGATCTTCAAACAAAAATGTCATTTTGTTATGTTTCTACGGAAGAATACAAAAAGGCTGACACGGAATTTGATCCAATTTTTAAGAAAGTGAAACCAATTCCTGGAACTCGAAAATATCATTGCTATATTCCAGTTTCAAACAACCAAATTGCAGTAAAAATATTCTCTAATTCAAACGATACACCCAAATTATTCAATGTATTCAAAAAAGTTTCTATATACAAAGTTATCGAAAATTATGCGTAGAATCCAAATAAATTATTATTTTACTAAAAAATATGCATTTTCATCAACTTGTAAAAATCAACAAAAATTTAAAAAATTATAGATTTCTTTTTAAGAAAGTTACCAGCATACACTTTTCACGAAATTTAAGGGTATTCCATAAATTTTCTTGAAAAAAAAAATTATAAAGATCGAAGGGGGGTGTATTGAGATAATCATCGTTTTACGTTTTTTAAATACTAATTTACGAAGTTTTTTCTTTCAGTGTATTTTTTTCCGCAAAGATAATTTAATTACCTAAAACTTTTTCTCATATGCCATTTTCATCAGATCAATTGTTTTCAAGTTATGATTTTTTGCAAAAAAATAATCCATTTTTTGATACGCCCTTTTCAAAAGTTACTCATATTTAAATGAAAAATGCAACCATTAGTAGCAGCGAACACGTGAGCAATGTTTCATTCAAATCAGAAGGGGTCGAGACAAAATTGACATTTTTTTAACGATTTGAGCTGGAAATGCTCTAATAGAGATAAAAAGGAACAATGTGTGAAAAATCAGTTCAATATCAGAGCTTAGACACTGTGGTTAATTTTTGTGACAAATGCTGCTGGTAATTAAAGGTAAAGGGAGAAAGATTTGAATTAAAGTATGCTAAGTTTAAAGTTATATAGGTAGTATATAGGTATATCTGGAATATACTAATATCAAAAATCATGAAAGCATTCGATCTTTATGATTATTTTTAAAAGTGACAGTTATTCCGAATCACCCTGTACTTTTGCATATTATTAAGCCATCAAATATGACACAAATATTTGTTTTATGGCACCATAAGATAACACTCGAGCCCCTTTTGCGCCCTTATTTCATTGTGGCAGCCTTAGAATTGATATTCTATGTTTGATCGGAATAAAGTTAATTTATTTCATTGGGTTTACCTTCTTCTATAATCATGAATAACGCTCATTAAAATTCTGCTTATTGCACTACCCAGCATCAGAACAATTTAATATTCCAAATTTTTACCAGAATGAAGAAAAGTTTTATAAAACATACGAAAGCAGTCACATCAATGTCTCCACAAAATAAAGCCCCGAGAGCATTCTTCGTGCTCGAGTTGATGTTTGCCGTATTTACTCTCTCAGATCTATTTCACGATGAAAAAGTTTTCAAAGAAAGCCCTCCTACCGCAACATTTCCTCAATGAGTGTCATCTTGAAATATACATTCACTGTGTGCATGCGTGCTCGACCAAAATAATTGTATAAATTACATATTTATTTCACTCTTTGCTTGTACCTTTTTCACACAGCTGCTAGGCATCACTGGAATAACCTATCACTGGGCCAACAACTTTGATTTGCCATTCGCCTTCTTAGTAGCTACACTTGACGAATGACCCTCACCATCTTCTTGCAAACGGATCAACAGACACTCATTTCACATTAATTCTCTACTTTTTATTTTACTTGCATAGCGGTAAAGTTTTCAATCCTACTTGTCATGCCGCTGACTGTTAAGAATTAAACCATTTTAACGACCCTTCGCGTTTCGTTCACTTTTCAAAGTTTGTAATTTGATAGTCGGTTAGATCCCGCCATGAACAGTCCGCATCGTTATTGGTGGTGGTGCTGCGCCGCTTCTTGGATCCGCTTCGGAGGATAAATTCTGTGAATGGCAGAGAAATAAAGGATCACTTCAGTTAACTAACAACAAAGGTGGTGGATAATTTCGAAACTGCGAACGAGGACCATCACATCGCCTTTCACTTTCGTATTTGAGTAGCGTTCAGTGCGGTAAAGGGAAACGGTTGATCTGAAAGGGGGTTAAAATTGCACAAATAAGCATGAGCATTAGGCTGGGTCTTCAATCTGAGGACCCCGAACAAAAATTGTGTCTGGGTTTAAAGAATTCGATTAGAGGAAATGGCTCTAATGTTGACCTATGGATCTAAGATTGTGCCCATGGCTAGATGAACGCGTTATTGGAACGGTACTAATGGATATTTTTGTTCACTATTGAAAATTTAGTCGATTGCTGAATTTAAGTATGGGCCCAAATTAGGGGCATTTAGGCCGACATTACATCCATATCCCCTATTATCCCAGATATTTCGAAAATCTTGTTATTTGCTCAAAAGATATGGGAATTTTAAAAGAAATTTAGGCAGTATATGACATTAGAAGAATATCTTTATAGCAGCATCATAGCAAATGAATGATGAAGAAAATAGTCTTCTATAGGACAGTTGATATTTGATTTGTTTTGATACTCAGTCCTGTACGCAGTGATTATTTAGCAGAACTTTTTTTTTTCAACTTTATAATATTAGCGCTTTTGTCCACAAAATGGTTTTAATATTGAAGCATCAGTGGAAAACCACATTCCAGCACTATGAATTTTGAACAGGCACTTAGGATTTCTCCTATTTTGGTGTCCCACAGTGGTACTGCTTCCAGTGAACGCGAAGTGACGGCAGAAGTAACACAGCAAAAGCTTTGTAATGTTGTGTAGTGGTAAGCGTGATTACCTCTCACCTCAGCAGGCCTGGGTTCAATCCCAGTCGGCGCCGTTTGAGGCATAACTTCTCTGATTACGCCTTCCTTCGGTGGAAGGGAAGTAAAGCCGTTGGTCCCCGGTTCATGAGTTGATGGGTCGATAGGTAGGGTCATAGATACATAGATTTTACATTTTACATAGATTGAATCAATTGAAATTGATTAAATTTTCAAAGATCAACGTCATTCATTGAATTTCAGATAGATAAACGTGTAATTTGATTTTTAAAAACCTGCTCCAGTAGGTAGTTGAAATTTACAAAAGATTGTTATCTGTGAAAATAATATTCTGCAACAATCCCTAATGACCTGCCGCAATCCCTATGCTTTAAACCGCGTAAAGAATGTGGCATGATGATGCGTTTCAGCTTAACGACCGTGTGACGAGTGGGTTTTAATTAATTTGTTGTTCTCTGGCAAATATAGGTCTGAGATTGAATTATGAAAATACTTGTGGTGCCTTGCTGGGCAACCTAGTATCAATACACCTTGTTAAAAATAGCTGCGTGTGAAGAGTAAACACACCCAATTTAAAGATGATGGTGGCACCGCTTACCCATACACAGGTTCGAGCTGGACGATTTATCTTTAAGATAATTAAGTATAATATCTTAAACAGATAAGCAAACAAAAACAAATTAGTTACAAATACAGATATATTCCCTCAACAATGTTCAGTTTCTTCGCAGCGATATTAATGTGAAAAACCTTAGGCGTTAACCTTTTCTTAACTACACACTTAGAAAAAATCTTGTTAATTTAGGTGCTCTGAGACTGACATATATGAGCATCAATTTTGACATAAAATTGAGTCATAACAGACGCCACATTCAGCTCAATCAAAGGTGTTTTTCGTCGAGTAACGAATTTTTCGGTCTCGGAGCACTTTATTTTACATGAAATGTTTGTTTGCGTTTCATCCTTTATGTCAAAGATGGGGATTGAACATTTTACGGATGTTCCAGATCTTTCGGAGGACACTCTCATAGCTATCAGGGTCCATGTTTGTCACGACCCCAAATTCATTCTATCATCAGAACTCCTAGTGTTTTTTCTAAAACTGCGGAGCTCTAGGATCAGTGTCATCAATTGACCACTTTTACGGATGTTTCGGATCTTCCGGAGGACGGTCTTATGGCCATACAGGTCCATGTTTATGTCATGACCCCAAATTCTTTCTTATATCACAGTTCCTAATGCTTTCGAAAAAAACGTGGAGTTCTAGGATCAGTTTCATGGATTGACCATTTTTAACGATGTTCCAGATCTTCCGGAGGACGGTTTCTAGGTACATGTTTATGTCATGACCCCTTATCAATTTATATATGACATTTCCAAGTGTTTTCCAAAAATACCGTGGAGCACTAGGATCAGTTTCATAGATTGAACACTTTTACGGATGTTCCGGATCTTCCGGAGGACGGTCCGATGGCCATCCGGGTCCATGTTTATGTCATGAACCAAAATTCTTTCTTATATCACAGTTCCTAATGTTTTCGAAAAAACTCTTCTAGGTTTATTGATAGACCACTTTTACGGATGTTCCGGATCTTTCGAGGACCGTTTCGTTATCTCCAGGTTCCATATATAGGAGCCATGACTGGCTAATTATGAACATTTGTGCAAATTAATGTAAATTATGGATCTTAACCAATCCAGTCGTAGGTTTGGAAATTGCAACTATTGACTCGAGATCGTCAAGTCGACGATGACAGGAGCACATATCGTGGTAGGGGTAAACAATAGTTGCAATTTCCAAACCTACGACTGGATGCCTTCCTTCAAATAACAACTGAAGTGCGGTAAAAAATCGGTAGAACTGTTTCAAACACACAGTTGGTACTTGAGCGGGTCGGTTTTCATCTCTTTTTGCCAGTGGTGGCGGGGGGGGGGGGACACCCCTCACCATCCCTCTCCAAAGGGGGAGTTTGGTAAAGAGAGATGAACAAACCGATTTGTACCTTCCTTAAAAGTTGTCCTAGCTCGCTTGTCTAATATCTATATACAATCTTCACACTGCCGTACTCTAACGGAACTATCAACTCTATGCTTTCATCTACTCCATCTATCGTATAAAAATTACCACTACACTTATTCCTTGTCAAACTCGTTTCGTGTGACCTTTTCGGGTTCAGCGTTACCTCACTACGTCGCTATTGGCAAGGTTCGGCTACCTGTACGTCTGTTTGTACCTCGGGTAATGAACTGCTCGAAATGTAAACAACTTGGTCATACATCGGACTACTGCTCGAACAAACCACGCTGCGATCAGTGTGGCGAGCAACATCAAGAGGGCCCTTGCGGTGCTCCACCAAAATGCGTGTACTGCAAGGAGAGCCTGCATACCCTGACTAACTGCCCGAGGTATAAACAGCAGGGAGAAAAACTTAAGCGGTCTCTGCAAGCTCGCTCCAAGAGAACACTAGCAGAACTCTTGAAGAATACCGCTTCATCTTCTCAGACCACACCAAAAAACAGTAACACATTCTCCATTTTGCCAGTTGATGATCTAGACTCTGACTCAGAGGGCGGTGAGGGTAGTCCGTTTGTCTTTAAAGGCAATACGAGAAAACGAGCAAAACAACACACCACCGAAAAGCCTTGTAAGGCCACTCGTACGGACCACCCTTCCACCTTGGAAAATTCAAGAGGTAACGGAAATACACCGAAACCCATTCCACCGGGTTTTAAACCTTGTAATTATGACAAGAACTTTCGTCACTTCCAGGATCATCTAAAACCCCACATGTCCCAGTTTTTCGGCCAGAAAAGCAGCTGAATAATCAGCAAGAACATGCCCCCATGTTCACGTTTTCTGGTATTGTGGATAGCTTCTTCAGTATATTCAATATCTCTGACTCAACGAGGAGCATTATTAATTTAGTGCTGCCAATGGTGAAAAATCTTTTGAAGCAACTAGCTTCTAGGTGGTCCTTCCTTGCATCGATCATATCCTTTGATGGATAATTCTCCGAATGAGGTCGGGGATATGATCTCTGTTCTTCAGTGGAACTGTAGAAGTCTTATGCCAAAACTTGACACATTTAAATTTTTAGTTATCAACTCACTTTCTGATGCATTTGCCCTTTGTGAAACATGGCTCTCTTCAGACAACGATCTTGCTTTCCACGATTTCAACATTATTCGCCTTGATCGCGCAGATAAGTATGGAGGGGTGCTTCTGGGGATCAACAAGCTCCATTCCTTCGACAGAATCGATCTGGCTTCGGTGACAGGCATTAAAGTAGTTGCATGTCAGGTTAATATTCGAGGTAAATGCCTCAGTATTGCCTCAGTATATCTTCCACCGCGAACTGCGATTTCTCGTCAAAGTTTCTCGGATCTCTGCACGGCTATGCCGGAGCCACGGTTGATCTTGGGAGATTTTAACTCTCACGGTACAGGCTGGGGGGAACTGTACGACGACAACCGCTCAACCTTGATATACGATATGTGCGACTTCTTCAAAATGACAATTTTGAACACCGGGGAAGCAACACGAGTAGCCAAACCTCCAGCAACAATAAGCAGATTAGACCTCTCACTTTGCTCGAGTTCACTATCCCTACGGTAGTGACCATTTGCCAATCAAAATTTCTATTACCAATGGTGCATCTTCTACTCGCTCGGTCGACATCGCGTACGATATTACGAAAAACATTGACTGGCGAAAATTCGCGACCGCGGTTCTTGATGCCAGTCAATCGGTTGACGTACTTCCTCCGCTGGACGAGTACTCCTTTCTCGCGCGTGTCATCATCGATTGTGCGCTGCGAGCACAGACGAAACGTGTTCCGGGTGTTTCCGTCCGCAAGCGACCTCCCACCCCGTGGTGGGATAAGGATTGCACCGATTTCGAGCGGTACACCGACCTCGAGAAAACCTTTAAGGACTTAATTAAAGCAAAAAACGCGGTTACTGGCGTCGGTTCGTCGATGGTTTGTCGCGAGAGACTTCCATGAGAACACTCTGGAATGCCGGCAGGAGAATGCGAAACGCGTCATCACCGATTAACGAAGACAAGGAGTACTCGGACAGTTGGATATTCAGCTTCGCACGGAAAGTTTGCCCGGATTCGGTGTCGGTTCAAACCAACGTTCGTGATCGTCC